TTTGGTCCGTTCATTTGCTTCCTGTTTGGAAGTGCACTCCTTAGTTGATTTTAGATTTTCTAAAGTAAGCACCCCTTTGCAACCTGCAGTTGAATTTCGCCTTCCCCTGATTGATTTTGCCTCCCCGCCCCTCTCCTGACTTATTTTTTTTGCATTTCTTCTTTCCGTGCGGACAGCTGTGTGCTTTATTTAGGGCGATCTCCCACATTTCTGGTCTTAGGCCGTTTGCTCTCTTCGTTACATTTGATTTTGCTATGCACAACTCGCAACTTTGACGGGGGCGGAGGGGGGGGGGAAGAAAGTGCAGTCCACTTTGCTGGCCGATGTTCGCTGACAAAATTAGCATCTAATGTTTCTTTCATAAATTGGTGCTCCACGCTTTTACCTCATTTGCGGAAAATCGGGTTTTTTGGTATTAAATTTACCTTTTCTGTGAATCTCTTCCTGCTTTTTTCTTACCATTTTTCAAATTATTTAATACTCTTCTACCAAGTTTAGTTGGTCAATACTCACTCCATAATGCCTATTGAGGCGAATAATTTGTCCTTCCTGAGGCTATCTTACACAACACCAGCCAGCATTTTATGTTACACTTAAATTGTTCTATAGAAGTTTCGTCATGCTGTCTTGTCGGATTATTCATAATTCCTAGTAGCTCGAGTTTCTAAAATGTATCTATTCCATTCCATACGGTGAAATGAAATGACCGACGCTGAGTGCCACTCCTAAAATTCGTGGAAGTCTTAAGAGTGGCACACAGGGTCGGTCCTTTGTTAATAGATTCTTATTGATTAGTAACATGAACCCCAACGGTAGCTGTCTTTGTAATTCATTAGGTCGAAATAATAATCCGTTTTGATAAGTAAATCCGGTTGGCTCCGCTGCCCTTTCGGACTGGCCGATGGTTGGTTGAGAAAATAATAATGTATATGTGTTCGACATGTATAGTGTTTTAATAATTACAAAGGGAACAAATGGCAGATCTCAGTATGGAATGAGGTTGACTAATCT